CTAAGCGGTTTACAGAGTCAGCATATTGCCCCCAACAACAATCCGGGTCCTCATTTTACCCACCTTGGAAGGATGGAAGGCTGAGTCAACCCTGAAGCGGTGAGATTTGAACAGCCGAACTGCAGAGCTGAAGTAGCCTGCAGTGCTGCATTTAACCACTGTGCCACCTCGACTGTCTCTATTAATTATGTTTCACTATTTATATAAAACATCCAAAGATCTGAGATATGCATGGAAAGCAGGTTAATCAACCAACATTTTTACAACTCATAATTAAAATTTTGGCAAATTTTCAGTGAACTATTCTGCTTGATGTTTAATTGAAACAAGATTGTCACAAAATGCACCTGCTCCCAAATTTAATGTTCGATTGGCAAATGGCAATAAATGGGAGTGGGATAAGATGAAATTATTTAAGTGCCAATACATAGCAGAATATTGTTTTTTAGCTAGAATCTCATTACTAAGTTCAGCAGCAGCGGCAAACTTTCTTAAAGCAACTACCAATAGCTGTTTTATTTCCCATTCATATATTTGGCATATAAGCCAAATCAATCAATCAATCAATCATTCCATATTTAACAGTCACAATTTCTTAGAAGATATGATAGGCACCAGTAAAAATTATTATTTTGGGTGGCATTTATGCATTTTTCTAGAGTTTCAAAATAATACAGATGTAACTTCATAGAAAAGTATTCACAACCTATATACTGTTATAATGAAACTTTTTTTATAGAAATGAATAATTTAATTAATAAATGTCTTAATCTAAAAAAAATCATAATTTGTCCTGATTGATACATTATATCTGTAAAGAAAAAAAATAGAATAAAGCAAGAACTACAGTATAAAATTTATTTGTCCACTATCTACTGCCACCTTTAACCCCTGTTTATCAGTCACTGATAACACATACATACTGAGGACCTGTCACAGCTTTATAATGAATACACGTAATCAAAATAAACATTGGTTACTTACAAACTTCCCCTTCTTGGAAGGCTCAGCTCTTTCTGCAAAAGTAGGAAAAGAGTATTTTACTATTATTTTCCAAAAGTATAATAAGATTTTCGTGGTTATTATTATGATTATTGTTATTGTTATTATTTACTTTAGTTCAGGAATTGAGGTTTAACTATTTTAGCCACGGACAACATTGCAGATACAAAGAATATCAAAATACAGAATATGTAAATAAACCTGTAATAAACTGAATAGTTTAATTACAATGTATGGAGACTGGCTGAGACTGTAGAAAACTCATTGAAACATATAAGAACACAACCTGGGAAATAAGGGAAACAGCATCAGAGACTCATATAGAAGACTTTGGAGTCTGGCATTGATTGAATGTTTATCAGCAACAAGATCACCCAGTCGTTTGTCAACTCTTCAGTCTAAAAGTGCATGGTAAAATGTTAATTAATATCACAAGATCAAGAGCAGTAAATAAGAGTATGACTAAGAATTATGAATCATGGTGCACATATGTTAAGAATACATATGTGTTCAGTGAACATTATTTGGTATTAAGATACTTTAAAACTTTTTGATAA